TCGTTCCCAGGGGCGGCTGAGGCGGAGGATGGGCCGAGCCTGCGCCCCTCCTTTCGTCTGTGCCCCTAAAACCTGTCAGCTTAGGAACCGCTGCCTAAGGCAGCCAGAAACCAGCGGTCCATCGGGAGCATGGGGTCTTCATCCTCTGGGCTCAGGCTTTAAAACACCGTGCAGACCCCCGCTCTCTGAGAGCCGCTGGGACGTTCAAGGAGGAACAAGGGGGGCCTGGTACCGCTGGCCTCCGGCCACGGTCTGGCTCCCGTCACGGCAGATCCCGACCCGACTAATTCAAGGTCAGGTCCTTAGCACAGACAAAAGCCACGAACACCGGCCCCAGAAACGCACCCTCTCCCTAGATATCACCTGCCCACGACAGCGAGTCGTCCCTGCTGAGGGAAGAAAAGCCAGTTAGGGAGCCTCCCAAGGGCCCTTCCACACGTAGGGTCCGGGGCTCCAACAGCGTTTTGGACTGGAGCCCGGTGGCTGGGCACAGCCCCGGCCCGAGGAGAGGGAGCGGGAGAGCGGCGGCCCGTCGGAGCCCGGAGCGCGGCCCATTCCGGACGCTGCACAGGGACGGCGTGGGAAACGGCCGCTCGCCCCGGTGACACCCACCGATAGCCAGGCCTGCGTCCTCAACGGCTGTCGGCTGCCACCGAGTGCCAAGTACAGGCTGTCCTCTTGGCAATTTAATTTTGAGGCCAAGGAGATAAAAATCTTTCCCCTGCGCAAATCTGCTGAGTCTTGAGCGTCGGGGGTGGGTGGGCACGGGAGGGTCTGCGGGGTGGGGGCCCTGGGCGGGACACGGGGCCTGGCCGCCCAGAGAGGACGTGGGGACCGTGCGCAGACGCTGCAGCGCCGTGCGGCGGGGCCGGCCCAGCTCCACGTCAGCGCGCCGGCTCCTCCCCGGGGCGGGCTGACCACCCTGCCCCGCCGGCAGCTGCCCCGAGCCTTGCGTAACATGGGGCGACGTTTTCCCGAGGCCCCAATCTCCCTGAGCCCCCAGGACCCCCGCCCTTGCTTGCTTAGCACTCAGTGCACTATTCCTTCACTGGGGGTCCCAACGCCCAGGGCTCTGCCCCGTGTTTGTCCTGAACAGGGCGAAACGCCCCAGCAAGTTCTCGGGCTGCCTGCCGAAGGCGGCTGAGGAGGTGTGAGGGGCAGCCCAGAGAAGCGGCCGGTGCTGTTTCATCAGTAGGTGTGGAAATGCGGGCTCTCTGGGCGGCTCCCCCACCCCAAGTTTGTTAAACAGCCCATCCAAGTCTCAGCATCACGGAGCTTCACTGAAATCCCTGCAGCTCGATTTACGACCAGGCTCTGCCCCGCCGTCGCCAGCGCCCGGGTCCCCCCTGTGCCCAGAAGGAGTGGCCGCCGCCTCTGCCCCCGGCCCCCGGCCCCCGGCCCCCGGCCGGTGCTGGGCCTCTCTGCCGGCCGGTGCTGGGCGCGCCCCCTCTGCCGGCGAGCTCTCCCCACAGCCTCTCCTTCCCTCTGCGCTCGCCTTTTCTCTCCGGTTGACCCAACGGCGGGCTCCTGGCTGGGGAAGAAGAGCTCCATCGACGCCCGCAGCCCCGGAGCCGGGGCCCCTCGCGGCTGAACAGCCTCCCAGGAAGGGTCCTTCCCCCGCGGCCCTGCTTCTGGGCACGTTCCTGCTCTCAGCTCTCCGCGTTAGACCCACAGAAGCCAGGGTCGCGGGGGCGGGGAGGGCGGGGAGGGCACGTGCAGTAGCGCAGAAGCAGAACGTTGCCTTCCCAGGTACCGTGCGCAGCTCCTGCACGTCCGAGCGCGCTGCACGTGAGGCGGCCGAGCCCCTGAGACAGTGGGTCACCCCCCCCCCTCAACAGCAGCAGCCGCCCTGTGACCTCAGCAGGAATCAGGCCCTCGGGGGCACAGGTGAGGGGCCCGTGGCGCCTGACCCCCACCCCAGGGCAGACCCTCTGTCCGCAGTCCGGCCCTCGCGGCCCCTCCCTGCCCTCGTCCGCGGAGACCGTTGTCACGGTATCAGGACGTCACCCCGGTGGACAAACACGGGCGTCATCGCGCTGGCGGCTTGAGAGGAGGGTGACCTTTCGGGAACCCTGATAATAACACTTTTTATGTCGGAATACTCTCATCTTTTCCAGAGAGCGATGTTCACTTTAGAAATTAACCTCGTTCAGAGAAGTTGAAGAGGCTCTGGAAATAATGTGGATTTCAGAAAAAGGCTAAAATTCCAAACTGAATAATCACGGGCCAGAACAGGCCCTTCAGTTGACTCAGCTCTGTCCCCGCACCGGCTGTCTGATCCGCCACCTGTACAGGTTCCGAGGTGCCCGGGGCAGCCAGTCCCCGGGGGGTGGGGGGGCCGGGGGGGCCACGGCAGCCCAGATGCTTCGATTGTCGGTCTCTTTAAATATATAAAAATATGCGAGGTCGACTGTGGGTTTTAATACGCGATAGTCTCAAAGATCTAAATTCATAAAGAAAGAATAGTTTCTATAAATACATCAAAGCTGACTCTGGCGAGTGCCTCTCTGAACGCGGAGACAGAAATATTTCCTGAGATTAAAGCTCGCCTTAGATGAAGCGGAACTTGCATTCCTGCAAATCGCCCACAGCTGGGAGCGCAGCTCCGGGCCGGGCTCCTTCCCGGGGACCTCTGGCTCACCGACTCCCCCGCCCCCAAACTTCTAGGAAGGAATGAGTTGGGAAAATTTCCCTCTAAACGCCTCTCTTGCTGGTCATTGACAGCAGCTGTCCCTCACTTCCTGTAAACGAAGTGAGACTTGGGAGGGACATCAGGGAAGGAGTCACCCGCCTTTCAGGCCGCACCTGAGGAAACGGAGCCCCGGGGAGGAGACGTAGCCGGCGCAGGGGTGCAGCTCGGACCGGGGCCCAGCCGAGCCTCGCGCCTCGACGCCCTTGCCCCCGCCAACAGGCGGCGACGTGCGCGCCAGGTGTTTGCGACCGAACTCCGCTTCCCAGGCCGTAGAGAACGTGCCAGTGCAAACAGGTTGCTGTGCAGGGCGTGCGTGCGTGTTGGCCTATTTTATCTCATGTGGATTTTACATCTCTGGGCCTGTGTGCGGAGGCTCACCCGTGCCCCGTAAGCAGCTCGGGGAGAAGCCACAAAAGGCAGGCGTGGGAAGGAGAGGCGGTGCGTGGCCCGGGGAAGGTGGGTCTGGGACCGGGAGCTCCAGGGTCACGCGTGTGGGCTGCCAGCCCCACAGCTCCCGATGCCACGTCCCCAGAACGCCCCTCCCGCGGCACTGCGATGGGACAGATGGCTCTGTTGACAACGGTCGAGGGACACACGCAGTAACGGCGGGGCCCGGCCACGTGCTGGGAAATCGAAAGGTTCCGGAGCTCAACGCAAGAAAATCCTCTCCGCGAGCCCACGGCCCCCTCCGGGAACAGCAGCCGTGACGTCCGGCGGCGGAAGAACGGACCGCGTTAAAGGACAGAAAAAGCGACCGTTAGTGCGGACGGTGACTCAGCTGTAGACAGTAAGAGGGATCAGGGAAAGGGACGTCCCCGCCGCGCGTCTCGGAGACCAAGGTGCACACGGGCAGGGACGCACAGGCAAAATCCGCAGCTCCCGACGAACGCCCAGCGACCGCTCCCCGCGTACCAGGCCGTGTGCCGCAGGCGGTGTCACCATCACCCTCGGGTCACCTGTCCCCGAGTCACAGGCGGCGCTCCAGCCACCACAGGAAGGACGGAGCGGTTCCGGTGACCGGCGGGCGAAAGGCGGCCCTTGGCGGTGTGAGAGGCAGGTCGCGGCTCTGAGTCCCGAAGCCGGGAGGGAACGCGGTCAGGCATCACCCCGCACGCGGGGACCGTGCCCTCCTGTGCCCGGGCTTGGCAGAGAGGGAGGGACGGGCAGAGCCACCGGCAGCGTCCGGCCCAAACACCTGGCCTCCCAGGGGCTCGGCGGCCAGTATCGCCCTCCTGGTTACAATCCAACTCCTGCGACTTCTGTGTCACTTTTTAAAATAAGCCGCACTTTGGACAGCAGGGAGGACGGGCAGGCTTTATTTTCAGCCAGTGTTGCTGGGGCAAATCCCTTTGCTCTACGGCCTCTGTTCAAATACGCTTCGGCGGCTCTTTCTAGGGTAAAAGCCGACAGAGGGAAGACCCGAACGCAGGACATGCGGAGTCGCAGCTGCCCCCAGCCGCACGGCCTTCGTAGGCAAACACGCCGGAGCCTTGCCGGCTGGAGTCCAGGCACGCGGGGGCCCCTCCACTCCCCCCGGCCCCGTAACGAGGGCTCAGCCCAAAGTCACCACGCCCGTCCTTCAGAAACACGAGGAGAAACGCCTCCCCCCTGCAGCAGCTGGGACTTTGGGGTAAATGTCCTAACGGGTCGGACACACGCCCTGACGGCGTGGCCCACTTCGGATCCCCCCAGAACGGCATCCAGCTTAAGGGGACCCGGGGACCTGCAGGTGTGTGCATCTCCCTGAGCGGAACGGGAGCCGACAGCCCCCCAACCTGAGGCCTGCCTCTGTCCAGCGGCCCGGCTGCTTCCTTCCAGTGGGGCCGAGAGGCACAGGGCGGCAAGAAGCCCCGAGCCTCCTGGCCAGCCCACCTTCCTCCCCGCCTGCGTTCACGCGGGGTCAGCGGGGGCCGGACGGAGTCCCTCACGTCCGCCGTGCGGTCAGCCGTCCTCACCGCCAGCCTGCAGCCGACGCGCGGGCCCGTTTTACAGGCCGGGAGACCGAGACGCCCAGAGGGGAGGCATCCTGCCCGCTGGGGAGCTGGGAGGAGCCAGGCAGCGCAACTTGAGGGTCCTGGCCCGGAGCACGCGGCCCCAGGGCAGGCGTCTCTGCAGAAGACGCGCGGGTGCCTCCTGGGCCAGCTCTGCAAACGCTCCGTGTGGCACACAGAAGGGACGCGGCTCCCGCACGGCAGCCCGACCCCTGTCTCCCCTGCGCCCCCGACCCGCAGGGCCCTCGGCTGCCTCAGGGCCCCTCCCCCGAGCAGATTCCCCAGCTCTCTGTCTCCTAAACTGAGCTGGTTCTCACCTTTCCAGGCAGGAGTGGGGCAAGGCGGCAAGTCCCTTGCACATGTTGGCAACTGAGTCTTCAGCTGGGAGCACAAAGTCTTATGAGCAGAGTGAGTCTTTGCGGACTGAACTTGGGCACTGGGTCGGGCCCGGCTGCGCTGGGGCTATAAGGAGGGCCTGCCCCTCCGCCGCCGGGGGTGGCGGCCAATCCGGAGCCAGGAGGAGCAGGGGCTGGGAGCAGCCTCTCTGGAGGAGGCTGCATTCCTCCCGGGGCGGGGGCAGGGCGGGGGCAGGCGAGGGCGCCGCGGGCTCTGCTGCTCCCCGGGGCGGCAGCTGCTAATCCCAGTGCGGCCGCTGCCTCAGGACGGGTGGGAGCCCACCTGGGCCCGGCAACCGCTCAGACCCCTCCGGGCCACAGGCTGCTGCAGGGCGTCAGGGGCCCCCGGACCCAGTCGCAGAGTTTCCAGGGGGAGGGTTCTGACCGGTGTAGGTTCCCATACCAGCACTTGGAAACTGTTCTGTAATTTTCATGACACTATCCTTCCGACCCACGCTTCCTAAGAAATGCCTGCGTTGAGGGGGCTTTTTCTTGTATTTTACTTTCAAAAAGTCTAAGTTTTAAAGTGCGACGTCTCACTGTGGACCCGTGATTGAGTGAGGTCTGGAAGTTTCAAACGCTGTTGAAGCTTGTGGTCTATTAGCTTTTTGGTAAGCATTCCTTACATGCTTGGAAGAATGTACATTTTCTTTTTGTTAGAGATACGCACGGTTCACACGTCTGTAGCTATTGAGATTATTCATTTTATTCAGATCTTCTCCACGCTTACTTTTTATGTTTATCCATCAGTTCACAATGGAAATACTTACATATTCTCAGTCTGAGACAGATTTTTCAAAATCTGCTAGTAACTAAGAGAGTATTTGCTTCATATATTTTGAAGCTTTACTGTTAGACACCTACAAGTCATGATCATTGTACCTTTTCATTGAGTGGCTTTTGAAAATCTGTATAGATACCTTGATTGTCTCTTTTGATGAATTTTGCGCTGCAATCTTTCTCGTGTATTAGTAACGATTCTACCTCACCTTTGTTTTGCTTAGTAGTGCCCTATGTTCATCATTTCTGGGTCTTTGTGAAATTAAAAAACACATCTCCATGTCTCAAATCCAATAGTCTGTATCCCCCAATAATTCATAAAGATCATTTCTTGTCCATGTGCTGTGATCAATAACAGATGTCGATATATTTTTACTATCCTATGCTGTGTGCACATTTTTTTCCTTCCTCTAAACGCGGAGCTTATTTCTTCCTTTCTATGAGGCTTGATTAGTTACACATTCTACTATTTTAATAGCTACTCAGAGATGTTTTAATACGTCATTCAATCACAGTCTCAACACCGCTTGGCGACCGTCTCCTCTGCTCCCAGAGAACAGCAGCCCGAGCTTCCCCGCGACACCCCCTCCTCCCGTGTGACTTTCCTGCTAAAGAAAATCGCGCCCCAGGGCAGCGCGCTGGCGTCTCTCTCCGGACCAGTCACAGTTGCTGCGGCCGCTCCTCTGCTTCCTGTCTCCCCCTTCGCTTTCTCCTGGGATCCGTGTTTCCATCAGCGAGGATTCGTGGGCCTGGGCTTCACAAATCCTTGGATTTCTACAAAAAAGTTAGGTGGTTTGAGAGTCTTGGCTGCAGACCTGGTCCCCGTCCTCCCGCCGAGCATTGTGAAGGGGGAACATTTGGCCCCTGGCGCCCGTTTACGGTGTCGCCAGCTGCCCGGCAGCCCGGCCGCGGGGCCTGTCTGGGGGCCGGGGGCGCCCTCCCTTCCAGCAGGAGGGCCCGGCCGGGCCTGTGCCGGCACCGTCCACGCAGGGACGCGGTCTCCCGCGTCGCGGGGTCACTGTGCTTTCTTGGGGGCCAGGCTCTTCCCGGTGGGCCCCCACGCCTCGGCCCCCGCCCTTCATTTCGCTGTTTCCGTCCCGCCCAGTCCCTGGGTGCCACTTGGACGGACCCTCTCAACGCCGCCTGCCCGCTCCCCCGCCCGGGGTTCAGCCGTGGCAACCCTGCCGCTCCCTGCCAGCACGCGTGCCTCCTTCCTAAAACGTTAGGCGCTACCAGGGCAACTTCTGCGACTGCTCCCGGACCCATTTGAGAAGCCAGCCTTGTTCGAGTTCTCGGGATATAATGTGCTGCTTTATTGCCTGCACGTTTTTTTCCATTTGACGCCTCGTTTTTTCCCAGCTGCAGGTGACAGGGGCGCGGCCGGGGATGAGACAACCGCACCCCCACCACGCGGTCTCCCCGGTGTTTCCAGGGCCCGCCCGGCGCCACACGGGGTGTTGACAGCTCCGCGCTCCCTGTGCTGCGCCCGAGAGCCCGTAACTGCCCGTCGGTCCCTGTCCTGTCCCACCCCCTCTCGCCCAGCCCCCAGCCGTCCCCGCGGACAACTGCCCGTCTCCTCCCTGCACCCCCTGGGATTCTGAGTTTTGTGGGATGGTGTCCCCACCGTGTCCTGGGTGTCGCAGACGGCGTGATGGGCCGGGGCCGGGCCGCGCACCTGGTGTGGGCTGGGGACTTGGCCGGAGCCGAGGCTGGGGACGGGATGGAGGCTTGACGTCCGGGCGGCGCACCCGGCGGACCCACAGGAACGCACGCACGGGGCTCCGGGTCGCGGCAGGAGGGAGCGAGGGAGCGGCGCGCACGCACCTTCAGGCTTCATCCCAGCCAGCGGGGAGCAGCGGCCGGGGGCTGAGGGCCCCTGCGTCGCGGTGGGCGCGGGGCTCCAGTTGTGGGAGAGCCGCGCGGGAGAGCGGGTGGCGGACGTTGGAGCAGCGCGTGACCGCGGCTCCTTCCCCGAGTCCGGGGCGAGCGGCCGAGCGCCGTGGTGGGACGAGCTGAGCGGCGTGAGGCCGGGGTGTGGAGGGGCGGCCCCGCCTGAGACCAAGCGGAGGGTCAAGGATGGATGGGCGGGAACCCGCAGGGAGTGGGCACAGGAGACAAGGGCCGCGCGGGGGCCCGGCTCCCTCCCGCTGTCGGGGAGGAGGCTCGGACGCCTCGGGGAAATGCTCTCGTGGAAGAACTGGGACTGAACGTCCACATGTTGTTCACTTGGCAGCATTTTGACAGGTGGGATTCTCCTTTAGGGGCGGCCTGGCCTCCCTCTGTCTGAGGGGCAGGACGAGGCGACGCCCGTGGCCGCGCCAGAGCCCCTGGTGGCGCGTGAGGTGGACGTCGGGTGCGGACGCCTTGCTTCTTGCCTCCAGGAGATGCTGAACGCAAGGAGCCCTCCTCTGTCTGCGAAGGGAACAGACAGTAGCACGGTTCTCTGGCAGCTGCTTTTCTGGTAGAATCGCCCTAATGTGGTGCTTGTCCCCGAGGTCAGCAGGCTGCTCCGGAGGCTGCCCCCCTCCCCCGCCCGGAGAACAGCATCCTCCCAGATAAATAATTTCTGTTGGAAGAACATTCTGTGAGCCCGCGTTCTCACTACAAATATCATCCAACTGAGCGCCGGGGGACATTTGAAAACAAAGCCTGGCTTGATCTTTCTGGGCCAAATGCCTCGGCGTGGATTCCCTTCCCACCAGGCGGGCGGGGCGTGGCCGGCGCCGGGTGAGGGGCTCGGCGGAGCCCCCTGTCCTGCCGCATCCGCCGCGCGGGCTCTGTTCTGGGCGGTCACAGCCACTCGTTGCGCCCTGACCCCACGGCGTAGCTTCAGCGTCCCGAGGTCCACGAGGGAACGCCGGTTGTCTTCGGGCCCCCAGGGCGCGTGGGGGGGCCCTGCATCAGCGGCTCCCTGTCGCTGACCATGCAGGTGAGGTCGCTCAGTAAAGGCGACACGTCCAAGCGCTGCAGCTTCGCCCCGGGGGCCCCGCCCGCAGCGCAGCGGGGGCGCCGACCCGCCGGACCCCTCCCGGCCGCAGGCTCCTGTGCACCGCACGGCCCCCCACGACATGTGCGAACCGGGCCCCTCCTCGCCCCCGCCGGGGCCGCCCGTAACCGAGGGGGCGGCTGTCGGTCCCGGGGGCGCGGCACCGCGGCCTCAGCGCCGAGACCGAGCCGCACACGCAGCCCCCCCGCCCCCGCCCCCGCCCCCGCCCCCACCCCCGCGGCTCCACGCACACGGGTCCTGGTCTCGGCGCCGCGGCCGCCCAGCCTTGGGGTCCCTCGACCGGCCGCGCCCACTGGCCGCCGTGCCTCTGCCCCCCCCGCCCCGGTCTTCGCAGACCAGCGGCCTCCCCTCGTCCTCGGCGACCGCCTTATCGTCCCGCCACTTCCGGACTTCACGGAGACGGGCGGCTCCTCTGAGTAGAGTTTTCCTGTTTTTGTTTGTTGGCTCACAGCCCCGGGCGGGGCAGGGGGTGTGATGTGGTTTCCTGCCTTGTGCTGTCGCTTCGAGGTCCAGGCGCCCCCTGTGCCTCCCGTCCCCCTGGAACCCGGGCCGCTGCCCGCACGCCGCGCGCTCGCTTTCTTCCCACACCGAACGGCGGGTTTGAACGGAGCGGCCGTAGGTGCCTGGCTTTTTATACAATTAAAACGGGCTTTCCGGCACCCGTGCGCCCGTGGGAAGACCACTGGTGGCGGTGACAGACAGGAGAACGTCGCCGTGACGGGGGGGCAGGCACACGCTCCTGCCACGACCTGGCCGCGCGACGTGTCTCGGACCCTGACCCCGCCGACGCGTGTCCCTGGGCCGCACTGTCTCCCGCCCCAGCCACGGGGCTCGGGCACACGCCGGCCTTGAGAAAGCGGCCCAGTCCCGTGCTCACGTCGGGGCGTCTCGGAGTCCACGCTGCAGGAGGCGAGGTCGTCCTGGGCGCAGTTCTGCCTGGTTAAGGCCGCGGGGGACGCCGCCTTGGCTGGATGTCCCTGAAATCGTGCCAGGCGGGTCCCTGTCCTGGGCCCTTAAATGGCGGGCCGGACGTCCGGTGCGGGAGGTCCGGCCCCACCGCTGTGAGTTCGCGGCCCTCGCTGCTCCCGCCGCAGAGGGTCCCGTGAGGCGGCAGGGCAATCACGCGTGTGAAATGAGACCTAAGGCCTGGCCCCTCGCAGCAGCCGGCCGGGCACATGTGGGGGCCATCGTGGTTCCCGGCGCTGCCTCAAAACAGAAATAACTGCAGGCACAGCGCGTGCAGAGCGAGCGAGAGGGGACGG